ATGCTATGACCGAAAAAATTTGATTGACAGATGACCGATGATACATATATGATTGGCTGAATTTAGGTGTACAAGCTGACGTATAAATAACTGGCCTGCATAAGATAACGAAAAAAAGAAAAGAAGAAAAAAAAAGAGAAAAAAAGGGGAAAAAAAAGAGAAAAAAAAGAAGAAAAAAAAAGAAAAAAAAGGGAAAAAAAGGAAGAAAAAAAAAGGAAAGAAAAAAAAACAAAGAAAAAAAAAAACAACAAAACCCAACAGATTTTGAGACCGGATTTTTTTTTAAAATAGAAATTTTCTAACTTTTGGGACAATATGTTCTGACAAAGAGTACATTAATACACATGTTTAAGCCATACAACTCTAAGATGTTTTTCTTTGTAGCTCAACTCTAAGATGTTTTTCTTTGTAGCTCTTTGTAGCAACAGAAAAATCCGTGTCCATTCTTATCAAATAAAGCTGATACAAACTGATGGTTACAAAAAGGACCTAAATGAGAGAAAAACTACAATAGACTCAAATTTGGGAATCCAATTAATATTTCCAAAACAAGTAAGCTATTGTATGATTACCTTAGAATCAGACTAATTTGAAGTAAAAAAAAATGAACATGACTCACATCCCTGATGAGTTAATGTAATCTCCTGACTGGCACTGCAACTTACTTGTGTCTGGTTAAGTTTCGCCATTGAGCTGACTCATTCGCTTCTTAGACTTCAGTTCTTTTAACCAGGCAGGTGAAGAGGCAGGGCTGATGGCAGAGAATCAGTATCTTAACAGGTTTCTCTGAATCTTTATTCTTTACGAGATCTGGATCTTTTATTTGTCATTCTCTGGGAATCATACCTTCCTTCCTTGCTGCCCATAGGGGGCAGCACCCGCGCAGCACCTGCCAGATGTGCCGGCAAGCGAGGAGATCCTGAAGTTTGTGATGGAGATGGAGTGACTTCCTTACTCTCTTTCTCTTTCCTCCTCTGTCATCTGCTGATCCCTCTTCTGCTGCAGCTGCTCCTCCACCGGTTCGCTTTTTTATCCCAGCCTGAGATATTGCATATACTTTACATTATAATGTTCATCTAGGATTTTATCTGCATGGTACCAAATAAAGAACATTTAAGTTCACTTACGAGCAGAGCTGCAGGGCTCAGACCTGGAAATATAGGAACTTTCTGAGTCGACGTTGGAGGAGAAGAAACTGGCTTCGATTTGGGGGGCTCCTCTTCAGAGTCCGACTCGTTTTCTTTTGATTCATCCCCTTTTACACCTGAAGACAAGGAAACAAATCTGTTAAAATATACAAAGAAACAAAACTCACAAAGATATATAGTACAATAGATATAATGTAATAACCATTACCATCAAAGACACTCAATTCTCCTCTGGCAGCTTTAATCGACCCTAATCGGAGAGAACGAGATGGCCGCGATCGTGTTCGCCTCCTACTCAGAAGTGCTTTGGATCTCTGGTTGCTGGTGTCAAGGAGCGGAGTAGAGATCTGCGGAGAGCAACAAACATACATAAATATAAATTAATGGAAATAGTTACTTTTATAACCCCTCTACATTTAAGTGTGGCAGAAGGAAATCCTTTAAAACTCAGAGAGATTCAGAAAAAGCATGATTCCAACCTCAGGGAATGGAGATAGGTCTGTTTCCTTTTGTGAATCTGCATCATTAACAGTGGAGACATCGGGCAGTGGGTCAGGGATGGATGTTGGACTGAAAAGAATAAATGAAAGTTCATTAGGGCTGAGTGGATGAAAAGGACAATGATAGATGTTGCATTATTTTTGTTCATGTTTTTTTGGGAGATGGAATAAATAAAGTAGAACAGCTTTGCAACAAATGTCCTCCTTTTTTAAGGAGAAAGTCATTATTTTATACACCCAGATAATGAAAAGTTGTTTCTTTCCAAAAACAGAGGTCAGTGCTACTGGGATAAATCAAATTAAGCTAAGAAACATGAAAATGTGAGAAA